CAACAGATCGAATATAAACTATGGGGTTGAATTACTGAGCAGGTTCATGAATGAACCTAGACAATCTCATATGTCAGCAGCGAAACATGTTCTAAGGTACCTAAAAGGAACAATTGACTATAGTATTCTATTTTCAAAAGTAGCGAGCAACTTGGAGAGTACTTTGGAAGTCTGGAGTGATTTTGACTGGAGCAGAGATCAGGTTGACAGAAGAAGCACCTTCGGATACATCTTCAAATATGAGGGAGCATCCATCTCCTGGTAATCGAAAAAGTAATATGTGGTGACAATCTTTTCGTGTGAAGCAGAGTACATAGCCGTTGCAGAAACGGCGTGTCAGTGCGTATGGTTGGAAGCGCTTCTCATGGACTTAAAGCTTGAATACAAATGACCGATTCAGTTGACGGTGGACAACAAGTCCGCAATCAGTCTGTCGAAGAACCCAGTGTTCCATGAAGAACCCAGTGTTCCATGGAAGGAGCAAGCATATCAGCACAAAGTTCCACTTTCTGAGAGATTTAGTGAACCAAGGGAAAATTGAACTGGTGCACTGCTCGACTGAAATACAAACTGCTGATGTCTTTACAAAGGCCCTCAGACAAACTAGATTCGAGAAACTTAGAGAAATGTTGAATATTAAGTCTCTTAGTAGTTTAGTTTAGAGGACATGTTGTAAACTAAAAATAACTTCTTTAACTGACGTGTGTCAGTTATAGTGCGCTCCATGCATCGCTTATATACACTTTTACTACCTTTTACTTTTACTAAGTCTGAATTATACATTTATACTTTCATTCTATTCTCTCTCTCACTACTCCTCATCTCGCATACTCTGCGTCAGTCACCTTAACCTAAAAATAATTAATTTTCAATAAATTTAATAAACGAAGAAAGAACAAAATTTATATTAGATTTGACTCGTAAAATATGTATTCAAATGAAACAGATAAGTTTACTATAATAAAAAAATATTTAAAATCATCAATTGATGAAGTGGAAACTGGACTCCATATGTCCACATGTATAAGTTCAGAAAATGTGAATCAATATTTTGAAGAAGGACCAAGATAATTTAAAAATTTATCTTTATTCTCTCTTGCACATGAAGATATCTCGAGGTCAATAATATGATTGATATATAAAGTTGGCTTTCTTTGCAACTTTTCCTAATTCTTTCCACGCTTCCACTCATCCATCGTTCCATTCAAATAATGCAATTTTTTCCCACAATGACTTAACAAATTGGGTTATTTAATTTCCTACCTCGCTTAATTTATTTTGGAAAAAAAGTTATTCAACTTTTTTTAGAGAGTTAAGATAAAAAGGAAAGAACTAATGTATCTACATCCGAATACTGAATAATATATATAAACAAACAAAGGAGAAAACGAAATATCATATTAATTGGTAGTATGCTAAGAGAATTGTTATTTATTAAAGGGAAATAATTTACAATATTTTATCAGATAATTTGTTAGGAAATTAGATAAAAATTATGCTAACATATAAATGAAAAAAAAAA